TTTTGATCAGTATTCCCATTGAAAATCTGAAACACGTATAATAACATAATTTGATAGTCCACTATACGATCCCACTTTTCAATCTCTTACTGGCAAGTACGTACATCGATTTAGTGGCTCATAACACACTTTCAATGCCAAAAATAGCAGATAAAGTTATTGTCATATCATCACAAGAGAAAAAGTATATGGGTAATTATCACAATATTTTTGATACTGTATCCATTGTCTGTTAAAACTGTCACATCGCTTCAAATAAATTCTCAAAAAATATTCCCGAAATCTGGCGGCATCCCCCAGGGACAACGCTTGCTCTTCATAATGGAAAATTAGTGAATGTGACATGGTGAGGATGCGATTGTTTGGTTTTAGTCCGACCTTAAACACTACCGTGTAAATGTAGTCCAAACCGAGGACTCTGTTAAAACTGTTATTTATTTATGTACCTTGTCGACTCCAGGAGCTTCTTGATATGTGTTGAGCGCAGTAGACGGATTTTCTTCATGATATTGAAGCTTGTATTTAGTGGTCCATCGATCTCTGTTGCCTCTACCCTGTGTAGCAAACTTTGYAATYCTSACATTTCTATTAAAATCGACCTGGAACCACTGTTTTAGGTCGTTATGTTTTGATGCCCATGCGGGCTGCTGGCCTCTCTCTGCGGGAAAATTAAGCCTACCATTGGCGGGTGCATAGTATTTATTCCACGTTGTATATGCTGATATTTGTTGTCTTGTAATGACACCACTTTCCATGCCAAGCGGGTATTCACCGGTGCACTCTAAATCACGAAARGTAGCTTTAGTTCAAACTTCTAAATTACATGAGAAAGTATGAAAATATTTGAGGTTTGCGCTATAATTAGGGTTCCATGGACATCACTTATCTGAGTCCAAGTGTTTTAAGTCCAAGTTTTCCTAAGGGGAAAAGTTATGAGCATCTTAGCTCTTTGTATCGTGTTTTTGTTTTTGCTTGTTGTATTGTTGTACTAATGTGTAATGTAGTATTATATATATTTATAAAAATAAAAATCTTTAAAAAAAACTTCTAAGTTAAATTGGGTAATTTCAGAGTCATCCTTTGGTATTCAGACTGGGATTTTCTTCAACTCCATAAACTATGATTTCGTAAAAAATATCGGAGACAATGAAGATACCATATTCATGGGAACCCATGGTTTGTCTTCTGTCGATCGCTCCTCGCTCTCAGAAAAATACCATTGGCATGGAGTCAGTTAGAGCTTGCTCTTAATACAAAAAGACCCAATATAAAACATGATTGCATACTTACCTGGTGACAGTGATACAACAGAAGGAGTTTCATACCAATTCATGACAGGAGGGCTGACTTGCTCGGWGGGCGATGYWTCTCCCTCCCTCAGAAACACACAATTATCTGTTTAAGAGAACATTTAAAAATACATTACACAATGCTTAGCACCTACTAAATCAATTAAAGTTAGTGTTGGAATTCAAAGCAAAGGATTGTCTAAATTCAAGTTTAATTTCAAACCTGAATTCAAGCTTAGTAAAAATCATCTTGGGATCACGGATTTGAGAATATATATTGCATGGCAGATCAAGGAAGTTACAGATTTATAGCTTTGGGATAATAAAAAAAACTATATGTCCTTATTAATACCCTAAATTTGTCACCTTAAATAAATATTGCTTGACATAGTAATTAAAGAATTAAAAAATAAATAAATAAAAAACAAAATCGTTACCTTGCCCAAATCCAACATCCAAAATTTTGAGGAAAATAAACGCCAAGAGTTTTTTTAAAGCATTCATTGGTGATTTTTATTCAAACGATTACCAAATTGTATAGTCCACTGTCTAAAACTAGTAGACAATGAACGAAGTTTAATTTAACAAAACATTTAATCAATTTTTCATGAGCATTGTTTTGATTTCCATAAACGGTGATACAGATGTCATCGAAAACAAAGATTTCACTGTGGCTGAACTATATTTTAGCTATGTTACCTGTACGAATGGGGACGTGCTGAAATCACCTTCAAAAAGCACAATAGTGTTTACAACTCGCTATTCAGAACGTTATATTATCTCTATTTTGGAATAGCCACGTAACAAAGTTATATTTTTCATAATTTTACTTATGATAAAGTTTTCATTTTTCTTAGAGATAATGATTATTGATGGAAGGTTCGTACAAAGTTTTCGTACAAGCTGACATAGCTATACACTCAAAAGATTAGTAAATAAGAGGGAACGTAAAGGAGTTCCATACTATCATTGTGTGTAGCGTGCTAACGATGAGTTCAAAAATTCCTTTCAAAAAACGAGTTAACAATGTGTGCTACCCAAAGGTGGTCTTATCTCCAAATGTCATCACGGATGAAAGGACAGACCTGTCTGTATCTATAGCACTATAACCCATCCCTTACTTACACAGTGTGGTTAGAATATCAACCGTAGGTAGAAGCGCTGGACATACATTCTCCAATGCTTTAGTTTTATCTCAAAGTTACCACAAAAATAAGGTTTTAATAGAATTCACCTGGTGTATATAAAATCATGTAAGAGTTAAGTTCGCGAGATGGTTTTCTGTGTTTTTGAAGTTATACTAGCAATAACGCACGCAACATGTGGTAAGCTTCAGAACAGGTTATATCATGGTGGTCGAGGAAAAGGAACCACGTGATTAATTTCTATACTATATATGGTATCTCAGCTCTAGGCAAAAGCTTAACTTTCGAAATAYGACTTCTGAATTTTTACTTTTCACATAAAGAAGATGGTGGCGGAACTTCATACGAGTGACAAAACCAAACAATAATAATTTTAATTATTTCACTTCGTCAATTACTCAATTACTCAATTACAATACAACTGATCCCTTCCMTCTTCGTTGAAGTTTTTCCTCTCTTTCGTCACCAATATTCGCTCGAATTTATGTAAGCGGTGCTCAAAGCCTGATGGGTCAAGGTTACACGCAGTTTAAGAATCGCTTGAATGTGATTYGTCTAATCTCTCTTGGTAAGTGGGGCATTCTGGGTCATTAGCTCATGTCGGACATATAGTGAAGTTAAACATTCACTTTGCTGTGCAGACGTAGACGCAGACGCAGACGCAGACCGAGGTAAAAAAAGCGATGACTTTTTTGATAAAATTGAAGGCATCTATATTTGCACCCAGCAAACAAATCTATATTATTTAAAGAAATCGACTAATGCTAACGCATGCAATTATTTTCCAGCGCACACTCACTGACCTCACTTATTAAATAACAAAGCACAGARCAGTCCTAGCAAGCTGTTTTTGAGGCTATAATTTGGATTTTGGTCATAAATATCCCCAGCACTCAACCATGGGAATAATAAAGACAGAAAAAGCTGTTAAGGTCTATGGTATTATATCTCTCATCGAAGGCGGCTTAGTATTAATGGACATATCACAAGTACATTATCAGCGTTAAGTGTTTAGATCTAATCACTTGATTCCTATTATAAAAACTTCCATATCGATATCAAGAACGGCTCTTATGTGGTGCTTATATGGGGAASTTGATATCGCTGAAATGAGATTCTTTAGGGTCGAACAAGAGAGTGGAATAAATCAATGCGTAGTACTTAAAAGTTGACACGTACACAATAATAGTATCATCGTAAAAAAATAATAAAATGTAAAATAATGGCTAATATTTAATATAATTATGAATAATTATCATGATACGAATATGTAATAATGATTCTTTGATTGTGTATGACGTCATGGCTTATTATTTGACGTTCTTCCTTTATCCAACATGGCGTCGATAGTTGTGTTAGTGGATGCATGTGGTTGCAACATAAGAACTGAGAGCCATTCACTATATAATGTGCGTTTTTTTTTCTGAAATAAAGACCATTGATTATCATCATTATCATTGTTATTTACTATTTTTATAACATTATCATTGTTATTATTATCATTATATTTATTATTACTATGAATATAACCGTATATTACATAGAAGATTTTAAAATATTAGAGTATTGTAACTTCTAATTTCAAAGCAGATATTTTAAACAAATTATTACAAAATTATATTTATCATTATTACTAATGCTGTTATTATAAATATTATTGTTCTATAATCATCATCATTATCTAAAGCGCACTTTTTGCTAAGAATTTATTTTTACTTAAATATATTAGATCTTTAAATACAAATTACTACCTGAATTATACTTCCAGGTGGTTTGTTGGCCGTTTTCAATAGCCATATTGAAAATGAGTGAAAATGTTCGCGGTTTTCCTCAAATAAAATAGCGCATTTACAGTAAAAGCGATATAACGTGATATCTCAAGAGCACCATTACATTAAGATAGGATAGTGTCCCTATAGTTAATAAACATTACTTTTGTTTATACTAGAGAGTATTATATAAAGAGATAACGTCTACTATTTAAGATGGTCAATTTTTAGTGAGATTAAATGGTTCGAAAAACACTGAGAAATTCACTTCATTTTATTGGATCTCCGTTGTCATTAAAATATCATTACAAATATGACATAAGATGATCAACAATGTATTTTGACATTTATAAGAAGCAAAAATTCACAGATGGTGCTTAAAACATGTAAGAAAATAACTACTAATATGACGTAAGATGATCAACAATGTATTTTGACATTTATAAGAAGCAAAAATTCACAGATGGTGCTTAAAATATGTAAGAAAATAACTACAGGCACAATTTTAGCGTGGTAAATATTAAACGTTTTGACTTTGACGGCTTCATCAGTGAATTGCATATCAAAGCTGTAGTTTTAAGAGAGTTATAGAGACAGAAATCAARTTGTTTATTCTATTGAAAGAAATCGTAAAACAGTACTTTAATATTCAATTYACTGATGAAGCCGTCAAAGGCGTTTGAAATAAAATACCGCCGAGTAAATTTGTGCCTTCACAATTCTGCCATCAAATTTAAAAAATATTAAAATTATATTAAAAAATATTTAAAAAATCCTTAAAATAAACTGCGAGGAGTCGAAACAAGTTACTAAGTAATTTTAATAGTATTTTTTAATATATATTGTATATATGTGAGTTTTTGGAAATAAAGATTCATTATTAGTATAATATTATTAAATAAAAAAAAAATACTAAGTAATACACGGTAGTGTAATACACGGTAATTTATTAAATTATTGTCAMACAAATAGCAATTGTTATTAATAATTCCACTGTTTTCTAAAGAGCCACTCTTCTGATAAAAACAGGTGAATATTTGCAAAATTATCATTGGATACACATGTGCATTAGGCATGCTCTGCAAGCTTTGCGTGCGCAGAAGAAAAAAAAACAAAACGCCCTTTTTGTTTTTCTGAATTTAATGCGAGGGATGATGATACCAATTTAAGTATCAATATCAACACAAGTTCCAATAACTGCATTAAGTGGCAGATAGTCTATTACTGAGTCACTTTCATCGATCACGAAAGATGTCGATCAAAAACGTTGTAGTTTAAACTAAATATCTCTAGTGAATGGCCGGATCGCGACGTCAGATGAAAACCAAGCCAGGAAAAAAAGAAAGCTTTTAGTGTTAACGAGATCGTTTCGAAAGTCCTTAGAGTGACACTGAAGTAACCTTTGAGTGTTTCCTGTACTGCGGTAAATAGAAAGTCCTTGAGAAAAATCCCGTCATTTTAAACCAAACGTATTGAGCAATACRATGTATAAGCTACGGTGGAATTCACAGAGATTAAACCCAATAAGTAATATGTGAGTTGACGCACGAACAATATTAACAGACGAAAAGGTAATCTGACAAGAAACCTCAAAGCAACTGACGAGTCTACCAGCAAGCTTCTATAGCCAAAGSATAGAAATTATCAACGATTGGTGCTGATTTGAAATTTGTGGGCATCTCAAGATTTCTACACACCCACCAACTTATTTTATTTAACATCTCTTGGAACACTGATAAAAAGAAATTTCTGTGGTTGCACATTTAAGGGACTAGCTGCAAATTAAGGTTATATCCGATAACGTTTAATTGAAACACACTTTTGAATAACCACAAGAAAAAAGGTTGCTTGATCGAAATTCTGACKAACATCCGAGGAACAAGTTTGTTTATTACACCAATTTCATCGTGCAAGTCTCTGGAGATATTTATATACATGTAAATAAACAGACTTTTCCAGCAATATTTGGAGAAGATGACTTGTATTCTAAAGTGTTTGGCATTCTGTACTGTAAGCATACAGGTGAGTTAACAATTGTAATAAACTGTCATTTTAGTATTTGATGAATTGGAAAGAATACTCAGCCCTGYGCACTACATGTCACTCCCTGTTTTGTGCTGTAACTAGTTATAAAAATTATTTTGCTCCGACGAGCGACACACCTCCAAACACCTGCTCCGAAACGTTATTCAGTAGACTATTTTTTTTTTATTTATTATACGCCATTTTATACATTGGTTTATGGCGAGTTATCCTATACTGGCAGTCTGGAAAATGTATTTTCTATTTTTCGCTTGTACATTCAAGGCAAGTGATTGTTATTGGATAATTTAAGTACCTAAGCTTTTCTAAAGTAGCAGTGTTACTTAGTTATGTTGTTTGGTATGTTTATGGTCGAGCTATGTTATATCTGTGTAGTGTGATGTACTTTTTTACCTTAGTGATGCTGTATGGAGGTATGTTATCTTAAATACTGCATTGTGTGGCACTACACAACAATGCAATGTAGTAC